GTGGTTCTCTTTCCACCACTATTTGTTTAATAGGCATATTATGCTTGTATTTACTACATGAATACATACTTTATTTTAATATAAACTGGATTTCTTTTGCAGGAAGAGGAAGCATCATGTTTGTTTTTGTGGTAATGGCTTCAAAAGATCTGACTTTTTAAAAACTTTAATGTTTAACATGTGATTTAATAATCTAATTATCTTTATAATTTTGTATCTGTGATTAGATGTTTTAAATATTTGAAGTATATCCTTGAAGCAATTTGAAGAGAGATATTTTAAAAAGAATGGTATGTGATTTTGGCACTCAAATGTACCCAGATGATGGCATTATTCCATTTATGTGAGGGAACTTCAGTGAGAATTTATGAAATACATAGGTTCAAATTTTTTGCTTATCTGTTATGCTAAGTCATGTGTCATGAAAAATTTTTTTATTCACAAAATGTGATGGTATAAGCTTTAATTAATATTTACAGAACACTTATAATCTGGTTACTCACTGTATTGGTATTATGTTTTTCATATCTGATGGATTTAGGAACTGGATTTTAATATCTGAGGATTTTTGTTTCATAGCTTAGTGGTTAAGAGCTCATGACTCCAAATCCTGGCTGGGCCACTTACTCTCTATATAATCGCGGGCAAATTACTTAACCTCCATTTTGCCAAGGGTTAACAGCTCTTAAGAGATGTTATTTGCATTAAGTGAGATAAAGGATGGAAGGTGCATTACACAGACTCTGGCACATAGTAGACTTTTACTTAATGCTAATCATCATTATCATCCTTGTTTTCACTCAACAAGATAGGTCTTCAGATACTTTCAAACTTTAATCTCTAATTTTAACACTACATTTTTGAACTTATAAAAAATTAGTTTCTGTATATCACTTCTTATCCATCTTTGAAATGGAAATGTGATGCCTTTCTTATAAAGGATCTATGTTTTTTATTTTTTTAATTTTAATTAATTAATTTAAAAACTACCTTTTTTTTTTTGAAGATAATTATGTTGCCATCTTGAACAAGGACAACTGCTTTATTTATTTATTTTGCTGCATCACGCAGCTTGCAGGATCTTAGCTCCCCAACGAGGGATCAAACCGGGGTCCACAGCAGTGGAAGCACTGGGTCTTAACCACTGGACTGCCAGGGAATTTCCCAAGGGAATGTATGTTTTTTAAAATGATTTTGTGGGCGGTAATTGATGTTTGCCAGTTTTTTTCAAGATGGACAAGATTAAGTGCTATATAATCATATTGTTGTTATTTATATCAAAGCATAAGGCATTTAAGGAAAAGGACCATAAATTGATCTATCCACACACTAAATGAAATGAACAGTTTTCTTTTGCACTTCATGCTTTTTAAAAATAGTCAGTCTCTTGGTTTATCTTACATATCTCTTTGTCCAAATAAGCATTTAAGGTCATGATCTAGGAAGAAATCATCTGTGAGATTTGAGACTAAAAATCAAGCCTCAAGTGGAAATGATACAAAAATGGAAAGGAATCGTAGTGCATCATCATGGGTGGACATTTTTAGGCAGAGACTCATTAGTAATTTTACTGACTGGCTCAACTCACCAAATTATTCAAGAATCTGGAATAATGGAGGGAAACCAATCAAGCTTGATTGATTAAGGCCTTCTCCTACTTCAAAGCCATTATAATAGAATATTGTTTAAAATTTGATTACCCATAATCTTACCATGCTTTTCAATATTTTAAAATTCAACCAAAATTTGTTGAGTATTACTAGGAGCAAAGCCTCATTCCCGATGCTATGGGGAAACTGTTATCCTCACGGAGCTTATAGTCTGCTCCCAGGAGGTAACGTGGAAAGAAATACCAGCTCTACAGGGCAGAGTGAAAGAAGTGCTATGAAAAATGTAGTTCCAAAGTGTTGGCAACTATGTGGAAGAGCCATTCATTTTAACTGGAAGGATCTGGGAAGGCTTTTAATTAAAAGGTGACATTCAAGCCTTAAAGGCGGAATAGAATTTGAGGCAAAGGATTGTTCTGTAGGTATTTTAGGCCAGGAAAACAATGTCAGTAAAGGTGAAAAGAGGTGAAAGCACGTATATATATAGGAAGCAGCAGCAGTGCCCAGTGCCTGAAGCAAGGGACTCATGGATTGGTGTGGAGAGTCAAAGACAGAAAAGGCAGTTTGGAAACAAATCTTAAAAAGACTTTGAATCATGTTATGGAGTTGGGTTTCATTCAGTAGACAGTGGGAAGCTAGTGAACATTTTGGGGGAGGGGAGGAATTTTATCTGACCCATGTTCTTGCTGGTATTATTACTTGCAAAGAATTAGGGAGATGAGAGACTCTAGGCAAGGAAAACAGATATAATAACCAAAAATTCCAAGTTATTAGGAATATTATATGCCAGGCATTGATAGACTAATTATTGTATTAACTAATATGATTATTATAATATACTAACATATTAATGATATAGGTACTTTGTAGGATTTACTTAATTTTTACAAGCACCCTGGCATGTGAGAAATATAATCTTTATTTTAGAGATAAGACATGGGAGGGTTAGAAAGATTAATTGCTCAAGGTCATATAGGTCATAGGTAGTGGGGCTTGAAATGAGATGATGGAAAAAAATTTGATTCAGAGCAACTGAGTGTGGGAGGTGAGAAAGACAGAGGGAGAAATTGAAGATGATTCCTACTTGGGTACCTTTAATGAAGGTACGAAGCATAGTCACATAAGTTTGGGATAAGTCAATAAGGAATTCTGCTTTGAAAGATTGGATTTGAGATGTGGGCAGGACAAGCCAGGTAGAAATGTGGAGCTGGCTATTGGAGATAGAAATGTGAAGGTGAAGCAGTCTGGGAGTAATCAGAACATTGGTGAGAGGGACAGCCTTGGGAGAAGGTATAGAACAGGAGAGGCTGAAGAGAGTGACGTCCATCTAAGAATGGAGAGGGGAACTGGAGAAGGAATTATCAGAAAGGTTTGGAGAAACCAGAATGTGAAAGAGTAGTGAACAAGCAGTCACGAGTGGGGAGAACTTCAGAAATTGTGGGTGGTAAACAGGTCATTTATTGCTCACCAGAGAGGGAAGAGTGTGGGGATTCTTGCTTTATTTGGGAAGTAGAAGTCCATGGGTAGTTTATGAAAAAACAAAACCAAAAACAATTTTAGTGGAGTGGAATGATCAGGAATTGAGTGTTAGGGGCTGAGGAAGGAATGGGTGGTAAAGAAATCTGATGGGCTCCAAGGGATCGAGGGACTTTTTTAAAATTAGGATGCGGGGAGCCCTTAAGCTAAGGGAAAAGGACAGTGGAGAGATTTCTAAGAGTGGAGGATAATTCATTGGCTTTAATTCCAAAGTGAAATCGAAAGATGACCAGAGGACAGACAGAGACTCTGGCAAAGGAAAAGAATAAGGTTTTTTCCCCCCTATGACAGAAAAGGAATGAGAAGAGAAAAAAATGGGTGGTTATACCAAGAAAAAGTGTGACCTAATGGGGAAAAGCTGAGAAAATTATTTTCTGAAAATCTATTTCTCAGAGAGGCCTTATTGGCCTTCTACATGTTTTGTATTTCCAAAGAGCCCTGTACTTATCCTTTAAAACATTCATCACACTTACAATCACTTGCTCAGCATCTGCTTCCACCACTAGATTTCAGTCTACTCTTTTAAGAGGTCAGTCGGCACGTCTGTCTTGTTCCATGCTGAACCTCCAGTGTATAGAAGAAGCTGTATGCCTGGTGCATAGTAAATGCTCAAAAGAGATTTGATGCGTTAATACTGGTTGATGCCATAGATTCTGTATCTCTCCCTCTATCTCTCTCAGCGGTGCTGAAAAACCTGACCCACAATAAACACTTGACAGATACTTGCTAAATGAATGATTCTTGTCACTGAAATAGGAAGTAAGTTCATTAATTGAGATAATAATAATTAAAACATTTTGAGTTCTCCCTGTGTGCTAGACACTAGATTGAGTAATTATATATTGGCTACTGTAACAAAGAAACCACAGAGTTTCAGTGGTTTACATAGTAAAAGTTTCTTTCTTACTCAGTAACACTACACAGTGGCTGCTCCTGATCGGCAGGCAGCTCTCCTCCTTTTAGAGACCCAGACTCCTTCCATCTTCCAGCTCCACCATCTCTTAGGCCTTTGCCTGCAAACTGGGGAAGAGGATGAGAATGTGGCTGCACAGAGATGCAAATAGTTAGCAAGCCACTTTCTAGGGACAGAAATGGGAACATGAATTTTGATGGACACTTAGCCATCTCTTCCACACTTTTTTTTTTTTTTTTTTACCATTTACAATAGCCCAATGAAGGAGGTACCATTATTATCTCCATTTTACAGATAAGACTACTGAGGCTTAGACCTGTCCCAAAACAATAAGGTTCTAATTTGAGATTCAAACTCATGTCCCTCTGACTCAATAGCCCATTCTAAACCATTAGACCTTTGTTTCTCAGGTGGAAGTGATTTTGTTCCCAAGGTACAAGGGGACATTTGGCAATGTCTGTAGACTTTTTTGTGTGGGGTGGCGTGGCAGGTGGGTAGGGATTACTGGCATCTAGTAGGTAGAAGCCAGGTATGCTGCTCAATATCTTAGAATGTATAGGACCTCCCCCACTCCCATCATACACACACAAAACCAAAAGTTATCAGGCCCCAAATGTCACTAGTGCCAAGGTTGAGAAATTCAGCACCAGACAGTATACTACCCACGATGGTAGAAGGTCAAGTATAGGTTAAGACATGATTGAAAAAATTAGGAACCTACTGTGAGGAATAAGCTACAGTTCATTATGAAAGGCTATGAAGGATTGGCAAAGAGCAGAAGGCTGCTGGTGGTTGTCAAATGCAGAAGAAGGTAAGTGGCTCTGTTATTTTTCTATCCGCTACTTGGCATTTCTGGAACTTGATAGTACTTTTAAAGAAGTAAGTGATCTGTACTTTGCTGGGTGAAAAGCTTATCTTTTAAACCATTTTATTTCTGAACTCAGGGAGACCAGACTCGTCCTTTTATCACGTCCAGTCCTACAAATGGGGCTAAATCCACTGCAGAAGGCTGGCTCTCTGAAAACCCATATGACCCGAATTATGGTGATGTACATTTTTATGACTATGTTGGTGATTGCTGGAATTGGAAAATTTTCCCCAAAGCTCGATTTGTATCTGAATATGGATATCAGTCCTGGCCTTCCTTCAGTACATTAGAGAAGGTAAGCCATCTTTGATTTCCCAGTGATTCAGAATGGTAGGCCATGGGTGTGTGTCACTTCCTTAACAGTGGTTCAGAAAGTCAAATGAAACCTACTTCTTATTTAAATGGAAGTGTAGGAAGAAGATAATAGAAAAGAACTTTTTAGGGCTTCCCTGGTGGCACAGTGGTCGAGAGTCCGCCTGCCGATGCCGGGGACACGGGTTCGTGCCCCGGTCCGGGAAGATCCCACGTGCCGCGGAGCGGCTGGGCCCGTGAGCCATGTGGCCGCTGAGCCTGCGCGTCCGGAGCCTGTGCTCCGCAACGGGAGAGGCCACAACAGTGAGAGGCCCGCGTACCAAAAAAAACAAAAGAACTTTTTATCCTTAACCTTTGGGGTACTAAACTCTTGTAGTCATCATTTGGGGGATTATAACTTTTCTATATTGCTTTTAATTATGTTCCGTCAAGAGTATTCAAAAATTAAATGGAAGCCGGTGATCACTGAAGACTGAGTTATTATCACATGTGAAAATTACTCTCACTTACTACTTTCTGTGTGTCCTGCAACTGTTTTATTACTTACAGATATTCAGAACTGGATAGTTTGCTACAATAAGAGAAATGAATGTGATAAATAAACCTTTGTCTGATGTTATCGTGTCACGTCGTTCCTTTTATCTTCTCCCCTCTTCTTCCTCCTCTTCCGTTTTCTTCATGTTGGTGTATTTGATTTTCAGTGTGACACTTCACTTTCTCTATTCCTAAAGATTCCGTTTTGTAGATGGATTGTTTCAGACTTGTGTGTTTTTTTTTTAACAGCTTTATTGAGACATAACTCACTGGCCATACAATGTACTCATGTAATGTGTACAGTTTAATGGTTTTCAGTATATTCACAGAGTTGTGCAGCCATCACCATGATCTAATTTTAGAATATTTACATCACCTCAAAGAAACTCTGTACCCTCTGTATTAGCAGTCACTCCCCGCTCTCTCTGTCCCTCCCATCCCAGATCTAGGCACCACTAATCTGCTCTGTGTGTCTGTATTTTCGCCTGTTCTGTACATTTCTTATAATTGGGATCATAACATATGTGATCTTTTGAGACTGGCTTCTTTCACCCAGCATAAAGTTCTCGAAAGTCATCCATGTAGTATCACGAATTAGTATGTCTTTCTTTTATATTGCTGAATAATATTCCATTGAATGGATAAAGCACATTTTGTTTATGCGTTCTTCAGTGGATACACATTTGTGTTATTCCCCATTTTTGGCTATTATGAATAATGCTGCTGTTAACATTTGTGTACATGTTTTTGTGTGAACATATGTTTTCCATTCTATTAAGTATATACCTAGGAGTGCAATTGCTGGGTCGTATGGTAACTCTATGTTTAATATTTAATATTCCAAGGAATTGCCAAACTGTTTTCCATAGTGGCTGCACCATTTTACATTCCCACCAGCAATGCACGAGGGTTTCAATTTCTCCACATCCTCGTCAACACTTGTTATTCCCCATTTTTGTCTTTTTTTTTAACATTTCCCTGGAAATTTACGTTTATAGGAAATTTGTATTTATTTGATGGCCGATCATGTTGAACATCTTTTTATGTGCTTGTTGGCTCTTTATGTATCTTCCTTGGAGAAATATCTGGAGAAATAAAAAGTAGGCAAAAATCCTTTGCCTACTTTTTAATTGGATTGTCTTTTTATTATCGGGTTGTAAGAGTTTATTGTAAGAGCTTACAAAAAACATACCATCTATATGTCCATGATATAGATGGTATTTTTTTAAATAGCGATATGATTTGCAAACATTTTCTCCCTATTAGTGGCTTGTCTTTTTACTTACTCGATAGTGTCATTTAAAGCACAAAATTTTATTTATTTATTTATTTTAAAATATTTATTTATTTATTTGGTTGCGTCGGGTCTTAGTTGCGGCATGTGGGCTCCTTAGTTGCGGCAGGCGGACTCCTTGGTGTGGCACGTGGGCTCCTTATTTGTGGCATGCAAACTCTTAGTTGTGGCATGCATGTGGGATCTAGTTTCCCGACCAGGGATCAAACCTGGGCCCCCTGCATTGAGAGCATGGAGTCTTAACTGCTGTGCCACCAGGGAAGTCCCAAAAGCACAAAATTAAAAATTTTGAAGCCCTACTTATCAATCTTCTCTTTTATTGCTTGTGCTTTGGTGTTGTGTCTAAGAAGCCATTGCCTAACTTAAGATCACAAACGTTTACTCCTGTGCTGTCTTTTAGTTTTAGCTCTTACATGGTCTATTTTGAGTTAATTATTTTGTATGGTGTGAGGTAGATGTCCAGTTTTGGACAGCCAATTGTCCCAACACCATCTGAAAACATTATTCTTTCCCTAATTGAATTCTCTTGACCCTTTTGTCAAAAATCAATTGACCATAAATGTTAATGTTTATTTCTGGATTCTCAGTTCTGTTCCATTGTGTATGTCTATTTTATATTAGTATCCACTGTCATCATTATTATACTGTTGTAGTAAGTTTTGAAAGCTGGATGTGTCAGTTCTCCAACCTTGTTCCTCTTTTCAAGATTGTTTTGACTGTTTTGGGTGCCTTGCATTTCCATATGAATTTTAGGATCACCTTGCTAGTTTCTGTAAAAAAGTCAGCTGGAAAAAAAAAAGTCAGCTGGGATTTTGATGGGGATTGTGTTGAATCTGTAGATCAGTTTGCAAAGAATTGCCATCTTAACAATATTAAGTCTTCTGATTCATGAACATGTGATGTCATCTTTAATTTCTTTCATACTATTTTGTAGTTTTCAGTGTATAAGTCATATACTTCTTTGGTTAAATTTATTCCTAAGTATTTTTTGGTGCTATTGTAAATGGAATTATTTTCTTAATTTTATTTTCAGATTGTTTATTGTAGTGTCTAAATATACGATTGATTTTTGTATATTGAACTTATATTCTGCAACCTTGTAGAACTCATTTATTAGCTCTAATGGTTTTTTGTTTTTTGGGGTATGTGTGTGTGAATTCTTTGTATATAAGAGCATGTCATCTGCAGATAGAGGTAACTTTACTTTTTCCTTTCCAATCTAGATGCCTTTTGTTTACTTTTCTTGCCTAATTGCCCTGGTTAGAACCTCCAGTACAGTATAGAAGTGGTGAGAACAGATAACCTTTTCTCACTCCTTTTCTCAGGGAGATTCCTGTTTTTAGGGAAAAAGCCTTTTTATCATTTAGTATGATATTAACTGTAGGTTTTTCATAGATGCCCTTTTATTCCTAGTTTGTTGCCTGCTTGTATCATAAAAGGGTGTTGGATTTTGTCAAATGCTTTTTCTTCATCTATTGAAATAATCATGTAGTTTTCCCCCTTCTGCATCACTTGTGTGAAGTAACCACAAAAAAAGTTTTAAGAGAATTTAAAAATCTTCCTCAATCTCACCACCTGAACACAACTGTACTTCTACATGGAAGTTATATTGTATTTTTAACTTTAATAAGTAATGCCATAACCTTAGTTCTACCCCTTGTTTTTTTATTACTCCCATATTGTGGGCCCAATCTTTTGGGAACACTGTTCTTTCAAAGTGAAAGAAGATGCAGTTCAGTATCCTGAGTCAGGTAGGAACAAGTGCTGAGAATGGAAAAGAAGGAATGAAAGAAGCAAAAATATTTACTGAGCAGATTTCTGTGCCAGGTACATCATTTAACAATAATCCAGCCCTGAGGCCCAGAGGGAAATCAATATATATTGATATATATATAGTGAGAGTTCTGTCAATGTCCCTAGATTGTAAGTAGCATATCTGTATTCAGGCTTATTGTCTGACTCCAGAATTGATCTATTTTCTTTTCACTACATTTCAGGAAGATGAGTGTTAGGAATTGCTAAACCTTTTTAAAAAAAATCTATAAGCATTTCTATTCACCTCTCGAAAATAATGGAATTCCCATGTTTTTGTGAAATGCCTGATGACATTCAAAGATACTAAACACTATTTTTAAAATAGGGAAAGATAAAGATAAGTCCTGTTTATTGTGAACCCTTGATTTGACTGTTGCCTCTTTTCGAACTACATTGCTTAGTGGAGAACTTGAGTAGGTGTTGGGAAAAGAAAACCTTTACGTAAAATCTTCATTTTTTTTTTTCATGCATTCAGCAAATATATTAAAATGTCTTCTCTGGTTGGGATACATTACTTCTTCGTAAAATAATCATATTTTCAACAGGTGATCATCAATATACAGCAATAGAAAGATTGGGTTTTGGAATGAACAGATCAGGATTTGAATACTAGAACTTCCACACTCTAGCTATACTGCCTTGAAAAGATTATTCATTCTTTTTGAATTTCAGTGTTCTCATCTGTAAATTGGGGTTAATAGTAGTAGATACTTCAAGGAGTGTTTGTGTACGTGTGTGCACATGCAGGTATGCATGTGTGCATGTGATGGTGTGTAAACATTAAGTTAACTAATACGTTGAAACACTTAGCACAGTTCTTGACACATAGTGATGAGCCCATAAAATGTAAGCTATTGTTACTATTAATATAGGCAATGCTAGTCACATGGTTTATACGAAGCTAGACTGCACTAATTAGCTTTGGATATTGGGCAAATTACTTAACCTTTCTGTGCCTGGTTTTCTCATCTGTAAAATAGGGTGATAATAGTACCCACTCATGGGGTTGTTATGATGATTAAATGAGTTAATATTCTTAAAGCAATTAGAGCCTTATCTGACACTTTTTTTTGCCATACATGGGCCTCTCACTGTTGTGGCCTCTCCCGTTGCGGAGCAACAGGCTCCGGACGCGCAGGCTCAGCAGCCATGGCTCACAGGCCTAGCCGCTCCGCGGCATGTGGGATCTTCCTGGACTGGGGCCATGAACCCATGTCTCTCAACCACTGCGCCACCAGGGAAGCCCCATTATCTGACACTTTCTAATTCCTCTGGTAACATTGTTATAGCTGAAATTTACAAGAATTTCAAACCACAGCTATCAGAAGGTAGAAAGCTTCCCACATAACAGATCAGGTTTATGATTATGGGATACATTCAAATTATTAGCAGCCACAGGGCTGACTGGCCAGGAGATGTGTTTCAGATTTTGAAAAGGAAGAAGCGTAGAAAGAAGGGAAGACTATTGCTAAAGGTTTGCGCATCTCAAATGTGTACAAGATGACTGTAAATACTATACCTCTGTTTCAAATAAATAATAGAAGTAATTGGTGTTCTCGAAACTGTCTGGTGGTAATATTTTCGAAAACTAAATACAATTTGGAAAAACTACCACATTAAATATGGCTAATGTATGTTGCTTATATTTTGGTATAACTCAATTCCTAAAGAATAACTTTTTCCTTTTAAGGTGATTGGTCTGTGCATTGCATGATTACTGAGAATTCTAAGTCATATTTTATGAACAGGGATTATTAAGCTTCCTAATTTTCATGGTTTTTTGAGGGTGGAGTGGAATATGTTTTTTCAAAGTGTCTGTGTAACTTGGCTTAAAACTCTGATATTTTCAGATGTAGCTAGCAATTGTCTTATATTTTGTCAAATGCTAACAGTTCATTAAATCATAGGGCCTAGAAGCCAGAATTATTGCTTTTTTTTTTTCACCTGTAGAAGGTACACTACTAACCTGTGTGGTATTTCTTTTTATTTATTTATTTTTGTTTTTATTTTTTACTTGACCTGATGATAGCTTCTCAAAGGAAAAGAAAGATTCTGTAAGTTAAAAAAAAAAAAAAAGATTTATTATTAGGGGAAAGAAGTATCATTGTTTGGTTTGTGTCTTCAACTATATCAAAATTAAACATGTGTATATATCAAATATATTTAGTAATCACTGAGAAGCAAATGAGCAAGTGCTAAGCATTTACCATTTTACTAGTGATATTTTATTACTGTTAAAGAACTGACAGTTTTAAAAGAATGTTGATTTCAGTTCATTATTCAGTTTTGACAGTTTATTTACTTCGATAAAATGACCTTTTAAAATGCACATAACAAATATTTAAAAAAACAAGAAAAATGTTTTTTTTAAAAAAAATTATTTATTTGTATTTGGCTGCGTTGGATCCTCACTGTGCACGGGCTTTCTCTAGTTGCGGTGAGGGGGGATTCCTCTTCATTTCGGTGCGCGGGCTTCCCATTGCGGTGGCGTCTCTTGTTGCAGAGCACAGGCTCTAGGCACGTGGGCTTCAATAGTTGTGGCTCGCAGGCTCTAGAGCACAGGCTCAGTAGTTGTGGTGCATGGGCTTAGTTTTTCCACAGCATGTGGGATCTTCCCGGACCAGGGCTCGAACCTGTGTGCCCTGCATTGGCAGGTGGGTTCTTAACCACTGCGCCACCAGGGAAGCCCCAAGAAAAATGTTTTGATGAGACAAGACTTTTGATGGCAATACCAAAATGTAACTTTCTAGGTTTGAATAAGGCTAGTCTTTCACTAATAACAAGTATGATGGCAAAAACATGTGTGAAATTAGAGTCACAACAAACCTCGAGCTCTTTTCCAGTGTGTAGTACTTTTCAAGTTTGTCAGGAGTATGGAGAAAAGTAGTTTCACTCCTAACTTCCCAATCTGAACCTCTTATTCTTTACTTGAAAGGTTTCATCTAAAGAGGACTGGTCTTATGAAAGCAAATTTGCACATCATAGACAACATTTCACAGATGGTAACTATAAAATGCTTCACCAGGCTGCGCTTCATTTCAAACTCCCCCAAAGTGCAGATCAATTACGCAAGTTCAAAGACACTATTTATCTTACTCAGGTAAGCCATTTTTATTCTGGGCTTCAACAGCTACCTGCAGTTAACATAAAGAGATCCTGTAGATTTTATAAGCCTTTTGTGGTGAAAAATATTCAGGTTTTCATTTTGCTGATTAAAAAAAATTATCTGCTTCAGAATGGGTATTTGATGACATATAGGACTTGAAATAGTTAATTTTTGGCATTTGTCTCTCTTACAAGAACAGCTCACAAACTTCTACAACAAATTGTGCATTAAAATCTTCCCTAGCTCAAGATTACTATCAAGGTTCAGTAATTAAGTCAGTAGCATTTGCCAAGGAAAAAATGGGACAATGGAACACAATAGAATCCAGAAACAGACTCATGTATGATATAGTCACCTGATTTATGGTCACAATGCCACTGCAATCCTGTGGGAAAAGATAGTCTTATCAATAAACAGTACTGTATCAAGTGGGTATCTTTATGGGAAATGAATGAACTGTGACTCCATATACAAAAATTAATTTGATTGGTGATCACACACTCAATTGGGAAAGGTAATACAGTAAAGTTTATAGGAGAAAACATAGGAGAATAGCTTCATGACCTTGGCATACACAGACGATTTCTTAAACAGAACATAAAAAATACAGACTATGAAAGAAAATAATGATAAATTGGACTTCATTAAAATTATGGACTTTTGTATATCAAAGGCACCATTAAGAGAGAGAAAATGCAAGCCACAGATTGGGGAACAATATTTGTAGTACATATGTCTGACAAAAGATTTGTATTTAGAATAAAGAACTTCTATAAAGCAATAAGAAAAAAGACAGATAACCTGTTAAAAAATGGACAAAAACCTTGAACAGGCACTTCATCAGAGAAGATAACCAGATGGTCAGGAAGTATATGCAAATATGCTCAATTTCATTCTTAATCCAGGAAATGCAAATTAGCCATGCCAGGATACTCCTACACACTATGTACACAATGTAATTTTAGCAGAATGGCTAAAATTAGAAAGATTGACAATACCAACTATTGGTGAGGAGGTGGGACAGCTGGGACTTTTAGACATTGTTAGTAGGAGTGGAAATTTGTTTAAACAGTTTGGAAAATCTTATGGCAGTTTCTACCCAAGTTAAACATTTGCTTTCTTCATGAATCAGCATTTCTACTCTTAGCTAGGTACCCAAGAAAAAGGAGTGCATACGTCTGCCAACAGACATCTAAAATAATGTTCATTGCAGCTTTACTCATAATAGCCCCAAACTGGAAACAACCTAAATGTTCTTTAACAGAAGAATTTACAAACAAATTGTGGAATATTTATACAATGGAATACTCCACAACAATAAAAAAGAATGAACTACTGCTATCAGCTTCAGCCTTGATGAATATTGTAGACATTAGGTTGAGCAAAAGAAACATTGTAGTTTCACTATAGACAAAATGAATCCAGATGATATAGAACAAGTTAATGGTAACCACTCTTGTGGAGGAAGATGGTGCATTCTGATTAGGAAAGGGTACAAGGAAACTCTGGCCTGCTAAAAAAGTTTTGTATCTTGATCTGGGTACTGGTTACATGGGTGTATACATATGTTAAAATTCACTGAGTTGTATACTTAAGATCTGTTCATATTGTGTACCTTAGTAGATTATTTTTAAGCAGCTCTACTGAGATATAATTGACATGCCATAAAATTCACTTGTTTTAAGTGTACAATCAAGTGATTTTTAGTATATTTATTGAGTCATGCGACCATCACCATAATACAACTTTCGAACATTTCTGACACTCCAAAAAGATCCCTCTTGCCCATTTTTTAAAAATAAATTTATTTATTTATTTATTAATGTTTAAATTTTTGGCTGCATTGGGTCTTCGTTGCTGCGCATGGGCTTTCTCTAGTTGTGGCGAGCAGGGGCTACTCTTCATTGCAGTGCACAGGCTTCTCATTGCGGTGGCTTCTCTTGTTGCGGAGCACGGGCTCTAGGCAGATGGGCTTTATTAGTTGTGGCACACAGGATCTGTAGTTGTGGTGCACAGGCTCAGTAGTTGTGGCGCACGGGCTTAGTTTCTCTGCGGCATGTGGGATCTTCCCGGACCAGGGTTCGAGCCTGTGTCCCCTGCATTGGCAGGCGGATTCTTAACCACTGCGCCACCAGGGAAGTCCCCCCTCTTGCCCATCTGTAATCACTCTCCTTTCTCACTTTCAGTCCCAGGCAAACATTAATTTGCTTTCTGTTTCTATAGATTTTACTTGTCTCAACATTTCATATAACTGGAATCATATAATATGTGATCTTTGGCATGTGGCTTCTTTCACCAAGCATAATGATTTTGAAGTTCTTCCATGTTATAGCCATATATCTGTGCTTCATTTCTCTTTCTTGCTAAGTAATATTCTGTTGTGTGGATATATTATGTTTTACTTATCTATTCATCAGTTGATGGACATTTGGATTATTTCCAATTTTTGACTATTATGCATAACACTGCTATGAATATTTGCATACACATCTTTGTACCTATATTTTCATTCCTCTTGAGTAGAAATATATGAGTGAAATTGCTGAGCTATATGATAAATTTATGTTTAACTTTTAAAGAAAATATTGACCTGAATCTTGGATAATATTTTTATCTTAATGTTTACAATTTATATATTTTTTCAGACATGACCAATTTATTGAGAAAATTCAAATTTCAGTTTGGCCAAGTATAACCAGGGGCAGAGTTTGGGATAATCATTTCATTGGCGGCAACTACATTTTCTAGAGCTAATTGGCCATGGGGTAGTATCTGAAGGAAAGAAAACAAAACTTAAAAAAATAATTTAAATTATTGGGTGGGTGATAAACATACATATTTGCAGAGGAAACCAAACACAAACAACCAGCTTACACAACTGAGGCATGAGAAATGCTGTTGCTAGTAGAAACCCTTTATTCCATTTAGTTTGACAGACGTTAAACACCTGATTTGTTCCAGACAGTGGGCTAGCTGCCAGGGTTGAGGTGGAAGCACAAAAATCACCAAGACGTCATCCCTGTCCTTAAGAAGTTTACAACAGCACATGTAAGAATGAGGGCTACTGGTGAAATGCCAAAACACTGCTCAAAAAACCTGGAGGGAGGAGAGTTTACCTTTACGTCTCAGTAGAGGTTGAGGTCGGGACCCTCTTAAATTAGGTGGTGTGGGTGAGGCCGGGGGTAGCATGCCACCGAGTAAAGAAAACTCTGGTGTCTAAGCATGTCTTGGCAACAGGAAATAGTCTAGTTCCTCCACAGCCTTCAGTGTGTGAGAGGGGAAGGGATATTCAAAGGTATTTAGTTTTATTTGAATCCCTCTCATCATTAGAACACTATAAGAGGTTGACAAGGAAGTGAAAAATGATTTAAAAAACCCACACATCCAAGTTTGAAGAGGCACGGACATAGACGGGAAATACCATTTCATAGTTGTAGTGTAAACTCAACTGCTTGTGTATATCCATTTAGTAGCTTAAGTAAAACCATCAAAAGGGGAAAAAACTCCGCTGGCAGCACCACGGTTCATCATGGCAGAACATGGTCTCTCCTGTTAGACTATAAAGCTAGCTTTGGCTACTGCCAATGGTGGATGTAAGGGCACAATGGAAATTAAGTTCACTTTTAGTTTACAAACTAAAGTCTGTAAACATTTCCACCTTAACTGCACGTAGATGACAAAGAAGGCTTGGAAGAGAGAATTTGGGGAGAGAGATGAAGTCTTTGTAGGCTAACTGAACTAAAAATGACTTGGGATGCTGTATCTCCTATTTAAAAAATACAGGATGAGCAAGTCTGAATAATAGTTTGCTATGTGTATAACATACACCTCAAAAAAGAATTCTAACACAACATACTACTAAGCAAACATCACAGTTTCTGCTTTTGCAATTTACACAAATTGCCTGAATTTTAATACTTTAGGGAACCTTTACAAACACAACATACAACAAATTGTAATATTATGCATCACCCTTAACTTCAGAAAGTTTGGCTTGTATTATTTTATCTCAAAGAAAAACTAATGTTTATAATGTCATTTCCTGTGGAATTAATTCATCACCCATTTTAAAAACTAATGTTTAGAAAAGAAGCTTCCCCGTAAGGTAAATTGGAATGCAAACACCTGCCAGGCTTTGATAAAATAAAAATAAACAACTATGACCAGCACCTCATAAAACCAAAATCTCCTTTTGAAGTACAAAGTTCAGTTCTTCTTGCCCTCTTAGTAAACGCTAATCCGAACCCTCCCCGATCTAGGAACTGTTCTGGTTTGTTATGTCGTCACATACATACAGTATTTTTTAACATTAAGAAATTCTTGACATGGTACCATAAATAAATAGGTAGTTTTTAAAACCAAAGTGACTCAGAGTACTAGAACAGATATAATAGCACACTAAAATGGTTTAAAAGTAAAATTTAAAAAAAAATCTATCATGGTCTTATTAATTCAAATTAAAAATCAAAGATGAAGTATCATTTCAGACCCATATACATCAAGATGCCAGTTCTTATAAAAATGTACTTTAGTTGTAAATGCTAGATATGTAAAAATAAAACAAAAATTTTTAATAGGGAAACCAGTAACTTTTGCCATTAAAATTTAAGTTCTTTTAATGTTTTTAATATTAGAGTTGGGAAAAATTCATTAAAGTTAAATGAAATTAATATAAAATTATTTTTATATTTTTATTATATTTCATGAACCTGTGAATACACACACATTAAGACTATTTGAGAACCATTGCTTATTTGTGTGATATTTTTGCTAAACTTGTTTCAAGTTCTGAGAGAGAAGGTAAGAGCCTATTCCCAATCATATGATCTGCAGAAATATGTTAAACATCACATTTTAATTTTTGCATCTTAGCATCTGAGAATGTACCAGTTTTTATACAAACTCACGCTCACTCTCATCAGTTTTCTCCTGTATGAAGACACAAAACCCTGGATGGAAATTGAAACAGAAAACTGTCAGCCAAAAGACTCTTT